CCTGACCGTGTCCTCATTTCTTCCACGGGATACCATTCTGTTGTATTTCTTCTCTCAGGCAGTCAGACGTTTGTGAGACTCAGAGCACCCATTGCCGGGTGGGGAGTGACCTGGCTCTCATCTCTGCTCCGTACCCTCCTGGGGTAGGATTGTAGGGGTGGGGCACATGACTGTGTGACAATGTGTCATGTATCCGCATGTCCCCTGGACAGCCCTGACTGCTCCTCTGTGCTGCTGATTACGCCTTGCAAGTGTTTGCTGATGGACCTGGTCCTTCTCATCACCATCAGGCCAGAACTTGTGATGTTGTCATCCTTCCCTGAACTTCGTTAAGCAGAGACGGAATGTTCTAGAGCAGGGGGCGTTTCCTTCTGGGGAGCTCCCTCTCTGAACCGAGGGTCAAGAAGAGATCCTTGAAGTAGACCCTTTGCCTTACATTACTGCAAGGTGACTTCTTGGTACCTGGGAAGACTGAGAGTGGTGAATTTTAAGGTTCATTTGGGAGGTAACCCAAAAGGGCAGAGGGTGCCAGTGGCCCTAAGGATGGGGCTGGTTTCTGGGTCCTCAGACACAGAATGAGTTTATGTCCCTTGGTACCTACTGATTCATATTTTCATGACTTCTGGAAAAGCACTGACTGGAGGAATAATCAATTGATCGATCTAATAGTGATCGATCGGCTGAAGGGTGTGGCGTACTTCTGCACTGGGTGTTCCAGCAATAGATGCTGGAATGTTTCTGTGCATTGGCTGGGTGGTTCCTTGACTGGCTGTGTCTGAACGCACTCCTGGACTCATCCAGCTGGAGGGTCCATGGGGCGGGAGCGGCCTCGATGGTCAAGGTCACACAGCTGGCAGCTGGTGCTGGCTGGGGACTGCGTCAGTCCTGTTTTCTTTCATATGCTTTTCATCCTCCAGTGGGCTGGACTGGCTTCCTTACATGGTAGCCTCAGGGCAGCTTCCAGGAAGGTGAAAGTTGAAACTGCAAGGCCCCTTAAGGCCTAGGCCTGGAAGTCACACACTGTCACCCTTGCCCTTTCCATTCGTCAAAGCGAATCAGAGTCAACGTGAAGGGGTCTGCAAGAGGGCGCAGATACAGAGAGGTGCGATTCACTGGAACCATTTTCTAACCATCTGCCGCACCAAGGAAAATAAAAATATGGGTTAGAATAAAAATTAGATGAGCATGTGGCAGTGAGAGATGGTATTGAAGAGTGGACAGCATAGCCCGGGGGCAGGCTCCCTGGGCTGGATCCCCAGCTCTGCCATTTTCCGGTTGGATGACCTTGAGGAAACCATGCAGTCCGCCTGTGTTCCTGGGTCCTTTTCTGCTCGGTGAGGGTCATAGTGACCCCTGTCTTCAGGTTTGTGATGAGTTTGAAGTGAGTTAATACAAGTCAAGTGCCCAGTATCAAGCTTGGCACATGCTAAACACTCAGATAGAGTGCGAGCTCTTAGTATTCATTTTGCTGTTCTGTGATGGCAGGCGAGTGGCAAATTTGGCTTTAAGTTTTCAGTTCCAGAGCAAAGTGGGCAAAAATCCTCGGGTGCAAGACGTGCAGTGTATTTAGGCTGAGAACAATCAGAGGTTCAGAAGAGGCTGTGCTGTGTCCATGTGCAAGGATGTGATTTTACACACTTGGTTTTAAATGCAGCAGATTTGGGGTAGTCTGCAAAGTGACTGACCCGGAAGAGGTTCACACTAAAAAGAAATGCATTTTTCTCCCAGGGTAACCGATTAGAGGCAGTAACCTCTGTATAAAATTTCACAAGACACAGGCTTGACTGTCAGAAGCCCTTGACTGGGGTCCCAGCTCTCTTCCCTCTGGCTGAGCACACTTGGGAAAATTCATGAATCCCTCCAAAGCTCAGCATCTTTGTCTACAAAATGGGCATAAAATAATGGTGCCCACCTCACACAAAAGGAGATCAAGCAAGCTGTCTTGTTACCTGGCACATATACTCAATGAATATTTGCTTTGACTGTTAGTATAAAGATGGTTTTAAGGGAGATTTTCTCTCTGTTGGAAGACAAATTCCCTGGGTACTCTTCACAGAGGGTTAGTGATTTATTATAAACCTCTCCTGTCTTTTTCTTAGAGGAGCATCTGGAATTTTCAGGGCCTGTCATAAAGTAATAAGCAAACAAGCAATAAACCCTACATTTGGCCTTCTCTCTAATTCCACGCTAGCCCCCATTTTTCCAAATTAGCGAGCTTTATCACTTGTATGGTTTCTATTCTCCATACCACTCAGTGCAGCCTCTATGGGAACCGGCTGGAAACATTTCAGAACAGCCTTCAAGGGCTTCCAGAAGTCTGCCGACGGCCCCCAAACCACGGGGTCCCACCTTCTTAGATGGCTTCTCTCCACATTTCTGCAGTTCCAGGATCCCCGACGGTGTGAAGTCAGGTTATCATTCGCTCTGCCCCCCACTCTCTTTGCACCTCTCCCTTTCTGTCTGATTTATGGCTTTAGAATGTTGGCCCGGAGGACCTTAATTTAAAGCCTCTGTCAGAGGTTGTTACACGAACGTGGTGCCAGTAAAAAAGCTGTTTTTCTTTGGTTTTTGCTTCTCTGTCGCCTTTCCCGTGGCATGAAATATGAGGTCGGGAAATAAGGTAACCAAATTGGGGTTGGGGGAGGTATTGAGAAACTCTTGTGTAATCCCTAAAAGGGGCCATGGCTCCATCCCAGCCAGGGGCCAAAGCCAAAAATCTGGGTCTTCAAGCCAGCTTTATGTCTATGATAAACCAATCAGTTTATGTCTCTTACTTAAGCTGCCTCTAGAGGCTGTCCTGGTGGTAGTTCTAATCAGGTTTAGAATCCCTAGTCTAAAGTCTGCCAACTGTTTTAAACTTCTGTTCCTCCAGCCGAGGAGATCCTGTTTAGTTTTGTGTGTGTGTGTGTGTGTGTGTGTGTGTGTTTACATTATGAAAACAGTAGTATTCTTTTTCATTCTCCAAAATCAGAGTTATAGTTTAATAATGAATGTGCTCAGCATAGCTGCCTCCTGACCCTTAGATATTTTTATGCCCCTAAGGAAACATCCCCCTCTCTCTGCAATGAGACTCAGTAGGCTATTGCTTTTCAGCGTTTCTCCTAGGAGTGAGACAAAGAATCTTTTCCCCGTTGTGTGACTTTTCTCTAAGACTGCCTTGGGCTGCTTCGCATCTCTGTGTCCACCTGCTTCGTTCAAGCATCTGTACTGCTCATTTGTCGATCGTTCACAGAGCCCTTAATTCAGAGGTTTGGCTCCTTTAGAGTTGAGTTGCTGTTTTTTGGACCATTTGTGCTGTTCAGTGAGCAGCAAGAATCTCCAGGTTGCTGGTACCAACTTCCTGGTTCTAAGAATGGTATTTTTTAATTTTTTTTTAATGTTTATTTATTTTGAGAGAGAGAGAGAGAGAGAGAGAGAGAGCGCATGCGCACGAGTGAGGGAGGGACAGAGAGAGAGAATCCCAAGCAGGCTCCACACCATCAGCGTGGAGCCCGGTGCAGGGCTTGAACCCAAGAACGGTGAGATCATGGCCGGAGCAGATATCAAGTCAGTCGCCCAAGCAACTGAGCCACTCCGTGGCCCCTCTAAGAATGGTATTTTTATAATACACTGTGAAACTTCATGGGTCGCTCGAGACCATTCTTGTCATCTTCAAGAGGAAAGTTATAGACTCGTGTTCGTTAAAGAGATAATAAAGTAAATAAATAGACAAGAGGAGGGGCGCCTGGGTAGCTCAGTCGGTTGAGTTTCCGACTTCGGCTCAGGTTGTGATCTCACGGTCTGTGAGTTCGAGCCCTGCGTCGGGCTCTGTGCTGACGACTCGGAGCCTGGAGCCTGCTTCCGATTCTGTGTCTCCCTCTCTCTGACCCTCCCCCGTTCATGCTGTCTCTCTCCATCTCAAAAATAAATAAACATTTTTAAAAAAATAGACAAGAGGAAATAACGGTCCTCGGTTTATGACGTGATATCTTTTATTGTAAACAAACAAACAAACAAACAAACAAAAAACAACCCAAACAACGAAGTAGGTGTGTACATATGTATTCTCATGTTGTATGTGCAAAAGAAAAGGTCTAGGAAAGGTAGTGTTTTCCTTTGGTGGGATCATGGGTTTTTCAAAATTTTCTTCATACTAAGAAAGGAAACCCAGTGCTATTTACGTTTAATAATTAAAAGGCAAAAGAAAACACAGCAGCAACAACACAACAGGAAAGGGAAGTCTGGCAGGTAGACTGTTGGGTGGAATTTTCAGGCCAGGGGCCTTGTGGGGCTGAGGCCCCCCCCCAAGCCGGCCTTGCCTGGCGAGGGGCACCGCACACAGCCTGGGCCCGGTTCGGGGACTCCGGGTTTGGCTGTAAGGCCGCCTTCGCGCGTTGCCGGAGGCTGCTGAGCGCAGACGCTTCCTGTGGGCGTTTCTGTCTCCCGCTGGATGGGGCAGTGTTGTGTCATCGGCTCAGGCCTGCCAAGCCTCCTGTTGGAGCCTGAGAAGGAGTGGGGATGGGCCCTGTCTCTGCTCCTCTTGGGCACTGAGCATCGCTTCTCCGAGGCTGGCGGCTGGGGCGCTGTCCTGCTGTGTCTGGGCTCGGGAGAGCGTCCGCGCACACACAGGCGTTCCGGCGTCAGCTTGTCAGCTCCCAGGGGCCAGGCTCCTGCACCTCCAGGAGCCAGGAGACAGTGCATCAGCAGGAGCCACTCTGAAAACAGTCGGGGAAATTCCGCCCCCGGGGGCAAACTGCCATTCGGATGAGGAACAGCCCTGCCGTCCAGGGCCGGCTGGTTGCGCGTGCGGTAGAACCTACTGGGTGTGAATGCTAATGAGCCCTGGCCGTGGAGAGGCTGCAGCTGGCCCCCGCCACCGTGGGCCGGTGTGGGAGCCACAGCTCTCCGTGGTGATTCACCAGCCATCAGTTCCTTGGGGGCCGGGCTGGATCCTTACCCCAAAAGCAGTGGTGAGAAGCCACGGGAGGGAGCGCCCCCAAAGGCTGCATCTTCTCTTGCAGAGAAGGTGCATTCGTGTGACCAGGAGAGGCAGAGTGCCCTGGAAGAGGCCAGGCAGAATCCCCGGGAGGGCATCGTCATCCCTGAGTGCGCCCCCGGGGGCCTCTACAAGCCAGTGCAGTGCCACCAGTCCACTGGCTACTGCTGGTGTGTGCTAGTCGACACAGGGCGCCCACTGCCCGGGACCTCCACACGGTAAGCCCGCCCTTCCCCCCCCCCCCCCCCCGCCCCCGAGCCCATCCTGCCCCTAGGGGGACCCTGGGGTAGGAGACCCAGCTCCCTGTTAGGCTATGCTCGTGTTTCCCTCCTTTACCGGCCCGGCCCGGTGGGAATCAAGGCACGAGGAGAACATTTCTGCTCCTGGGCAGATTCAGTCCTGGTAGAAAGACCTGGGTCCCGGATTCCGGTAACAATTCTGTCCCTTCTTCGCTGGGTGACCTCGGAAAAGGAGGTAACCTCTCCGAACTCCAGTTTACCGGCGAGAAGGTTATCGCCCCAAGTCCCTAGGTTCTGCGGATCCCAAACATCCTGCGTGCAGACCTCAGGTGACTGAGGCGCCACTCTGCTTGAGTGGTTGCCATGCCATGCCTGAACACGCCTCTGGAAACATTGGTACTGGGATTGCCGGGTGGCTGCTGGACAGCACAGGCGCCATTCTGCTGCTGGCCCCGGGAGTTCCAGGCTTAGTGACAATAGGGTGGTTGCGGCTGGCAGTGGCACCAGTTCCCAGCCCCTCCTTACCCGCCCCTGTGTCTCTCTCCTCCCAGCTACGTGATGCCCAGCTGTGAGAGCGACGCCAGGGCCAAGAGTGCAGAGGTGGACGATCCCTTCAAGGACAGGGAGCTGCCAGGTGGGAGGAGAGGCTGCCCCTTGCTGGTTCCCCCACCTCTTTCTGTTCTTCCAACTCCTGTGGTGCAGAAGCAGCTCCCTCCTCTGGCTCTGCTTCCCCTTCTGTAGGATGGAGTGTGGGGGGGGGGGTGCTGGGTGGGGCATCACAGGGGCCTGGGGATCTGCCCTCAAATCTCACTTTATCTTTCAGGGTGTCCAGAAGGGAAGAAAATGGAATTTATCACCAGTCTCCTGGATGCCCTCACCACCGACATGGTGCAGGCCATTAACTCAGCAGCGCCTACTGGAGGTGGGAGGTGAGAACGTGAGCGGGATGCAGGCCCAGCCGGGGATGTGGGTGCCTGACTTTCTGGATGCTTCAGGAGGCTGGGAGAGGGGCTACGGGTTGGGTAGGGCAAGGACTGGTCCTGCCTTCTGCCAAAAGTCTTCCCACCCTCTCCCGTCCCTGTTCTTTGGGAATCGCTTTTCTCTGCCTTTTAGTTACCTGATTACAGGCAAGTTTAGGGATGTCTAGAGACTTCCAGCACCTTAGCCTCAGGAGTGGATGCACTGGGGTGAGAGTGCTGAATAGCAGGAAGGGGGAGGGGCACGTAACCGGGCAGTGAGGGCAGGGAGGGAGTACACAGCACTTGGTGATTTTTCTTCTCTTCTGAGAAGGCAGGAATCATGTGCCTTTTTGGCTTCCTGAGAACCCCAAGGGCTCTGGGCAGTGGGATTGGACATCGCCATATCCAAATCCAACTTAGTTCAGCAGCTGATAACGCTGGCTGAGGCAGTCCTGACGTGAGGCTCAAATGCACACACTCCCCAGTGACCAGCATCCCAGGCCTCACTAGTTGGGCCCGTTAGGTCAGTGGTTGGAGCACGCACGCATGCACGCATGTATCCATCCACCCATCCACACATTTAGCACCTGTTGAACAAGCACTGGTCTAAGGACTAGGAACCCAGGGATGTGAGGCATGTTCATGTCTGCAAAGTATGCAGCTTAGTGGGGATACTTGCAAATTGAGTGGTCAGTGCCAGAATAAGGTGGAAGAACAGAAAAGGGTTTGCTAACTCAGTCCGGAGGAATCAGAAAGGCTTCCTGGAGGAGGTGATAGCTGAGCTGAGTTTTGAAAGACAAGTAGGACTTAGCCAGTGAAAGAAGGAAAACCACCCCAGGAAAAGGAAAAGAACACTGTGGCTCCAAGAAAGGGCACACCCATCGTCCAGTATGGCTGGGCTGGGCTGGAGGGGGTGAGGAGGAGAGGAGAGCGGCGACAGATGAGACGGAAGAGACGGCCAGGGACCAGGAAGCCAGAGGGGAGGCACAGAAGGGGTGTGTGTTGGGGAGGGGGGCGGCGGGCTCCTACAGCAGTGGAGGAAGTACCCATGTTGGCAGGGACGGGCACCTGTCTCTGAGCTCTGAGGCCCAGTTCCTCCGCATCTGCCCAGAGACAGAGCTGTCATCAGCAAGGCAGGGAGTGCCACCACGGTGGCAGGTCCAGGCTCCAGGCCTGGGGAGAGGCCCCGGCGTAGCCGCCTTGCCGGCGATCCGCAGGAGCACAGGGTGTGTGTCTAGCGTAGGGAACCAGGACCGCAAGCTCAGGGGTGCTGCATCCTGCGGCAGGCGGCAGGCGAGGGTGGCTGTCCGGAAGACCCAGTTTTAGGTCACGTCCAAGTGAGCGCAGAGGTTGCCTCCTGGTTGCCACTCTTGGAAGGTGCTGGTCTGGTGCACTTCCTCTCAGCAGCCCCATGTGAGCTCTCAGGCTGGTTTCTGGGTTTGCACACCCTGTGGATGACATCAGGCCTCCCCAGGGGGGACGCAGCACTGAGTCTGAGAAGATGGAGACAGGGTCTGATAGGCTGGGAGATGGGAACAGCTTGGAGGCAGCCGACGGTGCTCAGCGACTGGGCATTTAAAAGAGAGAGGATTGTATCCATTTCTCCAAGAAGAGGCGGCAGGGGAGTTTGTGGAAGCGTATTCAGTATTTATTGCCTTTGTTGCTCATGCTCGGAATATGAAAAACGCCTGTCGTTTCATGCAAAAATTGGGATGAGATATTTATTAGAAGAAAATGGAGAGGCGCCTGGGTGGCGCAGTCGGTTAAGCGTCCGACTTCGGCTCAGGTCATCATCTCGTGCTTTGTGAGTTCGAGCCCCGTGTCAGGCTCTGTGCTGACAGCTCAGAGCCTGGAGCCTGCTTCAGATTCTGTGTCTTCCTCCCTCTCTGCCCCTCCCATGCTCACGCTCTGTTTCTCTCTCTCTCAAAAACAAATAAACATTTAAAAAAAGAAGAAGAAGAAGAAGAAGAAGAAAATGGAAAAAGTAAACAGGAGGGACATGGGCTGCAAACTTCCAGGTCTGAGTGTTTCCCATCCACAACCACTTGGGGCTGCTGGCTCTGACCAGCCACTTAGGGAGCCTGCCTGGTGCTTTCTCCGCACTCCTGAGAAGACAAGACTTCAAACCTCTGCCACTTGCTTCCTTGGGAGCCCAGCCCAGCTTCCGAGCATGGGCCTTGCCTCGGCCCCAGGCAGACTGAGGGTGCCAGGAAAGTACCAGATCCGGCTGGGTCCTGGGCCAGTGGGTGAGGGGTCCATGGAGGTCAAAGGCACAGGTAGGTCCCCCTGGCCAGGCGGCATCAGGACCGATGCCTTGCCTTCAAATCACAGGTTGCAGGGATCTTTGCAGAAAATAAAAACTAAGAAGTTTACAATGTCTTTAATACCAGTTTTTAATACCAACGTATCCTTAGGGAAGAGATTTTTCTTTTTCTTTTTAAAAACCCTCTCTTTTAGGTGTAATTTAGAGTGGGGAGAAGATTAAAAAAAGGATTCTTTCCTAAACACATTTTTCACGTTAAGCTCATATTATGCCAAAACTGGGTTTGGTGTTGATGAGAATGAAAAGTTTGAAATGCATTTGGTAACTGTGTTACCTGGCGGCTGGACTTGTAATCAAAAGACACACCACATGAACCAAGAAATAGTTTAGAAATCCGGGAGGAGAGTTGGGGGCCGGGGGGTGTGGCAGGAATTGGGGAATGCAGGAAGAAAGAGCAGCATTTACATGGGGAGGCCACGGCCAGGGGTAGCAGGTTCTCCAGGTTTTAAGCTGTAGCTCCCACCTGAACTGGCCCTGCAAGGAGGGTCTCACTGGCCGTGTCCCAGCTGCTGGCCCTTCTCAGTCCCTCAAACAGGCCTTGAAGAACCCTCCAGGTTCCTGCCTGCCCCAGGACCTCCATGCCAGCTGCTGCCGCAGCCTGGAATATGAGGCCCCATCCTCCTGTGATTGGTCCCGACTGTCCATTTAAATGTCAACTTCTTAGGGGCGCCTGGGTGGCGCAGTCGGTTAAGCGTCCGACTTCAGCCAGGTCACGATCTCGCGGTCCGGGAGTTCGAGCCCCGCGTCAGGCTCTGGGCTGATGGCTCGGAGCCTGGAGCCTGTTTCCGATTCTGTGTCTCCCTCTCTCTCTGCCCCTCCCCCGTTCATGCTCTGTCTCTCTCTGTCCCAAAAATAAATTAAAAACATTGAAAAAAAATTAAAAAAAAAAATAATAAATGTCAACTTCTTAGCAACCAACCCATCTAAAGGGGCTGCCAGTCACCCTCTGTCGCCACACCTCTTTTTAATTTCTCAGCCAGGCACTTACCCTAGCTGGTATTTTGCTGGCTTGTTTATTTATTGTTTGGCTTACCCTACTTAATGAAAATTTAAGTTCTATGGAGAAGGAGCATTACCTGTCTTCTTCCCTGCTGTGTTCCTAGAACTCAAAATAATCCTTGGCACATAGGAGAGGTGCAATAAATATTTGCTGAATGAATAAACAGCTAGAAGGATGGGTAGATAGATGGATAGATCCGTATGTGATACAAAGAGACATGTCTTGATAAGGCCTCTTGATCCTTATCCCGCACATCAGAGGTTTCACCAACTACTGGAAGACCAAGAGGCCAAATCTAGCCATCAAATTCACCACGGTCCTTCTTTGTCCCTACAGCACCCTGGATGGGCCCAAGAGACTTGGGAGCCCATGTGGAGAGACCCTGGCCAGGCACTCTTCTATGATAAAAGAGCAAAGGCACGGGGCAGCTGGAGGCTGGGGAGCACAGCTACAGTAGGGCTGTTGAAGAGAATTCAGGAATCCAGGCTGGGTTTTAGCCTTTGCTCTGAATTCGGGCAGAATTGGGATCATAGGCACGGAAGACTGAAGTCAGGGAAGGCACATCTGATCCCTCCTACATCCTCTCAGGGTCTGGCAATTAAAGCTGGACATCAGCTGGGGCCAGTGGGAAGAAGGGACAAAGAAGTCATGTCTCCCCGCCTCCCCGCAATGTAACACCTGTCAGGCCTACAGATTCTGGCTTCGCACCAACTCTTACATTTCCATTCTTCCCTGGTATAAGCTCTGGGTCGGGTTCCGGGGACGAAGTCATGGTCGCTGCCTGGAGGGGCTTCCGATCTGATTGAGAGAAGGGGTGTAGAATCACAGGATTGCACTATGAGGTCAGTGGGGTAATAGAGGCAGAGAGAGTGCTGGGGGGCTTCAGGGGCAGGAGGGCACGCGAGGGAAGGCTTTATATATGAGATGATACTTCACCTGAGCGACATCTTCGTGAACAAAGGGGTAATGCCCCAACCTAGATGGACCAGGGCAAAGAAGCCCTCGGGGTAATGAGGCAGGGCCTGTGCAAGGAGTTGTAAGAAGTGTGCCTTAAATCTGGGAGGCAGGCAGAAGGTGGGGCTGTGGATTGGGGCAGAGACCAGATCATGCCAGGCCTTGTGATTCACACCAAGTGCAGGACGATGCCCATGATTAGGTGAGCTTTTTTTTTTTTTAATGTTTATTTATTTTTGAGAGAGAGAGAGTACAAGTGGGGGAAGAACAGAGAGAGAGGGAGACAGAATCTGAAGCAGGCTCCAGGCTCTGAGCTGTCAGCACAGAGCCTGACATGGGGCTCGAACTCACAAACGGTGAGGTTATGACCTTAGCCAAAGTCGGACGCTTAACCGACTGAGCCACCCAGGTGCCCCATGAGCATTTTTGAAGAATCATCCCGAAGGCCATAGGGAAGCTGGATGGGAAGAGAGCGAGACGGGCTGGGAGGATTCCAGCCATCATCAGAGCGATAGGCGAGGGGGAGCCCCACTACAGCTATGGGGGAAGGGATGGTTTTCTGAAGCTTTAGCAGTGAAAGTAATCAGATTTGAAGACTTATTAGTGATCGGACATGGCATGGAGGGAGATGTCTGCTTCCTTTTCTGGGCTTCCAGCCTCATTTGGGGAACGGGGGGGGGGGGGGGGCGGTCCTGCCCAAATCTAAGAATAGGCAAAGTAGAACAGGGTGTCCATAGAAACATCCGTGGTTAGTACATGGGAGGGGCAGCCTGCAAGTATCATTCAAGGATAGCAGTTCTCAATGAAAGTTTGCAGGATGATTGAATTATCCTCATGCTCCTTCCTTCCAGGGCTCTAGGAGGTGAGCTCCTCCTGAGATCAGCCCTCCCATGGCACCCATTAGCATTCATCAGACCCAAAGGAAAAGTTCTGAGATCCCAGCTGGCAGTCTTCTCAAGCAGGGGAGCCCTCTCCTTTTTCCATCTCGCCCCAGAAAACGTGAACTTTCCGGGGAGGTGGGATGGGCTGCGTGAGCCTTCTGGCCCCTCATGCGGCCCCCCACGGAGAGACCATCTGTACTGTGGCTTCCTCCTTCCTGCCTAGCGTGGTTACTTGTTGATGGCCTTGTAAGGCAAAGTGTGGAATATGGCTGACTCGGCGTTTCCCAGCCCCACCCCCCTGCACAGCTGGCAGGGCTCGGACCCCACTCCAGATGGGGCTCCGTTGGTCTGCTTGGCTTGGCCAGTGCTTCCAGGCTGTCCCGCCTCACCTTCTTTAAAACTGCTTGGGACAGCAGAACAAGGCCCAAGATCCTGGCCAGAGCAAGTTTTCTTGTGGCAAATGGGCTGGCTCTCCAGCTGTGCGTTGCAGCCAACGCCTGGCAGAGTGAGGATGCAGAAGCAAAACTGAATGCAGGAGAAAGGCAGCACCTGTCACCTCTGAATTTGGGAGAACAGTCAGTGTGGCCAGGGAGGCACCCAGCTCTAGTGTGTTTCGTCATCCCTGGAGGTCAAAGTGAACAGGACAGCCACCAAAACAGCCCAGAGACAGAGCGGACACCAGTCTTTGGATTTGTTTTTCCAAAATCTAGAATTGGGTATCATTTGGGTGTGACCTGCCACACCATCTCCAAGGACACTTGGATAACTCTACACACCCAGTGAGCCCTTTTAGTAGAGTGGAACCTCACCTGTAGGGAGGCCCATGGCATGGACCAGCGCTGTTAGGTCATTTAAGGAACCGTTACACCCTCTGATGTAGGGTCCCCAGCCCTTGCCTGATGAGCAGATTTGAATCCCAACAGTCCCAGTCTCCAGCAGGGGTTGTGTGTACACATGTGAGAGAAAGGTTGGAGGTCTGATGCCAGCGGAAGGAAGCCTAGAGCTGGGAGGGCAAGTTCCCAATGTTTTTAAAGGATACTTCTAGGGGCGCCTGGGTGGCGCAGTCGGTTAAGCGTCCGACTTCAGCCAGGTCACGATCTCGCGGTCCGGGAGTTCGAGCCCCGCGTCAGGCTCTGGGCTGATGGCTCGGAGCCTGGAGCCTGTTTCCGATTCTGTGTCTCCCTCTCTCTCTGCCCCTCCCCCGTTCATGCTCTGTCTCTCTCTGTCCCAAAAATAAATAAACGTTGAAAAAAATAAATAAATAAATAAATAAAGGATACTTCTAGAAGGCCGCAGGAGCTGGAGGGATCAGGGGGGGGTATGGCTTTGAGGGCAGGGGTAAGTTTTGGGGAGTCTCACTGTGATGGAAAGGGCTCTAATAAAACTGCTTGAGAGATTCCTGGAAATTCTGCGGGAGGCCCTTTGGCCCCGCCCATCGGGCACTCCCCTGGGAAAATCTCAGCTTCTCCTGAGCCAACCGAGGCCTCTTGGCTCTTTTGCACATGCGTGCCTGCTGCTGGTGTGACTAAACCCGGACTCCTGACACAGCTCAATCCTGACTCGATCTTGTATGAAGTATGGCAGAGACTTAAGATTGTTGCAAACTCAGAACCTGATTTTCAGAGTTTTAAGCTGAATGCCTTCTGTAGTTTTTTATTATGTTTTGTTGGAAACATGGAAACTATCCCTAAACCCCTCTAGCTACCGTCCTTTTTCTCACCCCATCTTCTTCCAGAAGGCTCATGGTTAAACAGTGTTCTGGGGCCAGGGCTGGGGATCCTTCCCTGTAGATCAAGCGTTCTTTACCTGAGTCCATGAGCTTGGATGAGGTTTAGGGAGTCCATTAAACCCTGGAAGTCAGCACAGTGCTATGTGCATGTGCGCTTTTCCAGAGAAGACTATAGCTTTGTTTAGGTTCTCAGAAGGGTCCATGAGCCCTCAAGGCTAAGAAATTCTTGCTTTAAATGTACTTAGAGCTTGGCCTGCGCTAAGTATTAGGTTCCAAAGTAGGCCCCCAGTGCTGCCAGCGTCACAGGTAGAGCTGGGCTCTGTTGTCAGGAGTGGAGGTGGGACGGTGGGTTTCTGGAAGTCAAAGGAGTTCAGAAGCAGGGAGCCCTACGTGGAGGGCAGAGGAAGGGGGAGGAAGGGGGAAGAGGCAGGACCCGGACAGGCTGAGGGTGCGGCGGAGTGAGAAGCACCACTCGGAGGGGCCTCAGAAGACTTCTCCCGGGAGAAGGAAGTATCCTCGGAGTCTCCAGGGCCAGGTCAGGCCAGTGGTCATGGCTGTGAGACGCTGCTGGGAGTGAGGAGGGCAGGACCAAGCGGACAAAAGGAGACAGGGGAGGGAGGGAGAGTCAGAAGGAAAGGAAGGAAAAGGGAGCAAAGTCAAGTGATGGTCTCTGTGCATGGGAAGAAACTCCCAGAGGTTGTAAAGTCGGAAGAAGACCAGCCCAAAGGACAGTGCGGGAGCTCCATCGGTGGAGCTGCTGAGAACCGGACAGGCTGGAGCCCCAGCAACACGTGTCGGAGGCAGTGGGCCTCTCCTGGCAGGGCGGCTGGGCGGGATGACCTCATCCCTTCCCAGCTCAGCGACTGAGGCTTTATTATTCCAGCCTCTAGGTAGACATGACTCTATGCTGAGCCTAAAGGTTAGAGAAAGATCTGCCTTTGCCACCATGGGGCTCTTATGGCCTCTGGCAGGAGGGGTCCAAAGGGAGAGTCCCCAGTGGGAATAGCTGGAGTACCTCCCTTGGGGCTCTTCCTGGCTGTCCTCTGCAGCCCACGCCCTCCCTCGCGTTCAGGGAAACACAGGTAGGCACGGTGCTCAGAGAGGGAGCTGACCACCCTCCCTCCTGTGCCACAAGCATCTTGATAGAGAATTTTCTGCTGCTCACCTGGTATACCCTGCAGGCTTGAGAGTGAATGTTATGGGTGAAATAGAGGGAGCTCTGACACGCCAAAATACCACGTACTGGCAGAAACAAAAATCTGAGCTCTACGACAAATAACTCCATTCCTGTTTGAAGGACCCTCTGAGCCTGCTTTCCATGACAGACCAGGCAGATTCCCAAAGAACCAGGGGCGGATGGTCCCTCACACCTTGCCCAGGTACTCCCTGCATTAAACCTGTCCAGAAGACATCCTGCTGGCAGATCCACCAATTGTACTGCCTTGGAATCAGCCCAGGGTGCCCGGGGGGCTGCCCAAGACTGCAATCCACTTAATTAGGAATGGGCATTTAGCAGGGATGCTTGGCTTTTTTTTTTTTTTTTTGGTAATGAAACTTCTTTTTCCCTAAACATTGAGGGCACTTGGAGATGGGAAAGGGAAAGAGTTTGCTGGCTCGTTCATAGGGGTGGGGTCAGAGATGGTCCCCTCCCTTCTGGAAAACTTGGCAAACCCCAAAGAAGAACCCCAAGGTGTTGGCAAGTGCCGTGAATATTTTTCTTGCAAGATATAGTTTCTACCTGCCAGATGCAGTACTCTGCATACGTGGGCTGTGTTAGACGTGGTCACTACTGTGCACCTTGACACGAGGAAGCCTTCTTGGTTGCTATAGTCTGGTACTTTTAAGCACAATCCCCCGGGGTTCTAGCATACATGTGGTTTCCTAGGTCCATCCCAGACCTCCAGACTTAAAACCTCTCCATGGAGAGACTCACCCCTAGTAGGTCTGGGACTCGCCAGTTTTAGACTTGCTCTGTTTGTGTCCATCACAACTGTCTTCTTCTCTCGATTCCTACTGCACTTGTTGCCCGACAGTGACGGGCCCTGGGAACTTCACACTGAATTGTCACTGGCTGATCTCAATGTATTTGGCTCAGTCTTACCAAGACATTGAGCAGTTTGAGGCCCGGGGCAATGCCTCCCGGGACCTGGCCTGGTGTTGGGCCTGTGTGTGCATGCTCAGATTGCCCTTTCCCATAGTCACGTTCGTTGAGTGAGCGTACACGTTCACGTGTGAACCGCAGCTTGTCTGGCGATGAACCCTAGGCCAGGAGGACAACGTGGATCCCAGCTGTGGTTTACTCAGGTGAATGAAATCCATTCAATATATCTTGAGCCCCCATCTTATGCAAGAACATTCCTGCCTGTGGTAGAGGGTGAGGCAGGTTCACGTAAGAAGGGTGACCCACTCGGGGACCCCTGAGAAATAAATTATCCGGTCTCGAGAGTCTAGCTGGAGAGGCTGGCTTGATTCTGCTACAGGCTGAGTGGGGCTGGGAGGTCTTTGGCTTGAAAGAGCCTTCGCTACCTGACTGCTGGCAGCTCGGCACGACCACCCTGGCATTGCCCACGTGGGAGAGACGTGCAGTGGGGCCATTGGTTCCTGCAGGATCCTGAGTGGTGCTGTCTGGGGTGGGGGTGGGGGGTGTCTGCCTGTGGCCCAGGTTTTCAGAACCAGATCCCAGCCACACGCTGGAGGAGCGAGTGGTGCACTGGTACTTCAGCCAGTTGGACAGCAACAGCAGCAATGACATTAACAAGCGGGAGATGAAGCCCTTCAAGCGTTACGTGAAGAAGAAAGCCAAGCCCAAGAAGTGTGCCCGGCGTTTCACTGACTACTGTGACCTGAACAAGGACAAGGTCATCTCACTGCCTGAGCTGAAGGGCTGCCTGGGTGTTAGCAAAGAAGGTGAGTGCTCACTCGTGTGTTCCTGGCCTTCCAGTACGTGCCCCACCCAGGCACAGGGACCACGGGCTCCTTCGATAGACGAGATCCCAGGTACTCATTTATTCAACTGCTTATGAAGAGTGTGTTATGCTTTATGCTGGATGCCTGGTACAGTTGGCAGATAAGGCCCCTGTCCTTCCACAGCCTACCGAGGACATAGATCTTAAAGTGTTTATGTGCATTGTGGTAAGCGCTAGGAGAGGGTGTTAGGAGAGGCCAGGCTGCAGTGACAAGCAGACCCACACATGTAGTGGCCCAACACAGGAGAAATTTGTTCATCTTGCCCTTGTAATAGTTCAGCATGATTCCAGGTCATGGTGTGTGCATGCGTATGTGTGCGTGTGTGTGTGTGCACGCGTGCCTGTGCGTGCAAGGGGAGGAACAGGAATGGAGACTGTACTGTGCAGTCACTCTGAGATCTATCTTGGCTAAGAATGACTCTTCCTTCTTTATTAAGTGGCTTCCAAGGTCACCATGGCGGTTGTTTCCATTCTCAGTAAACCAGATGGAGTAAAGCATGGAACAGTGCTCATGGGGGGGTGGGGGGTGGGGGTGGGGGGGTTATGCTCCAGTCCAGGAAGTGACACACGTTACCTCTCATACCTCGTAGTGGCTGGAACTGCCACCAGACCACACCCAATAGTAAGGAAGTCTGGGAGCGCCCCGGAAGAGGAGGAGAACGTGGATTAGGTTTTCTGGTGGAAACCTAATCATCTCTGTCATGATAGAACAAGTGCAGAGTGTTGTAGGAACATATGTAGGGGCACTTAAATTAGCTCAGGGGCAGACAGCCTCGGAAAACTTTGTGAAGGAAGCGATGTCTAAGCCAGCCATGGGCCACAGGCTCAATCTAGTCGCTGGCCTATTTTTGCATGGCTTGTGAGCTAAGGATGGTTTTTATATTTCTCAAGGGACGTCATTTTCAAAAAAGAGGAATAAAGGATAGATTGTACACGGCCTGCAGAGCCTAAAGTATCTACTACCTAGTTCTTTACAGATGAGTTTGCCAGCCCCTGATCTAAACCGATACCTGCGGAATGGGTAGGAGATGGCCGAGGCAAGGGGTCAGCAGAGGGAGAAGTGTTCTAAGCTACAGCCTAGAGTGAAGATGTAGCGGTGAGGAACGGTTCTAGAGGAACTGAAAGATGTTAGTGGGACTGAAATGCGTACTTAAAGGTGGCAGGAGCTGGGGGGTGACAGGAGGTAAGGGGAGAGTCTCAACTTCATAAGGGCAGCAGAGAACCATGGAAGGGGTTCAGTCCAAGAAATGATAGGATTGGTTTTTGCTTCAAAAATGCATGCTGGCTGCAGTGTGGGAAAAAAAGATAGCACACGAGCGAGGCAAGGTCCCCCCAGGAGGCTGTGGCGGGAGGCGACAGAGGCTTGAGTTAATGAAAGCACAGTGGGAGTGAAGGGAAGCGAGTGGTTTTGAGAAACATAGAGCCGCAGTTCTGGTGACCGAGTGGATATAGGGATGGAGGTTGCTTTGGGCAACTGGAGGGCGGGTCTGTTCACCGAGTTGGGCAACATGGAAGGACGAACAGAGCAGGCATAGGGGGATGGAGAAGACAACCGGTATGGATTGAAGGTGTCAAGTTGGATGCATCTCAAGGACCAGTGGTTCTCTAAGTGCAGGCGAAGGGTCGGGGCTGAAGATGCCAACCTGGGTGACACCGATTTGCTTGAAATGGAAGCTTTGAAAAAAGCTGAGATTGCCCAGGGAGAAAACTTAAGGGCTGTTTCTGGCTCATAACCCTCGGTGAACCCAAAGGATAGCACAGGAAGTGGATGAATTACCACCAAGTACCGTGTCTCGGGACCTGCCCCCTCCGTAGCTGGTTCTGGCCCTCATTCTGGGGTGTGTGACCCTGGGTGAGTGAGCTCATGGCTCTGGGCACTCCTGTCTGATTGAGGACGCCTCTCTGTGTTCCCATAGTACTCTGGGTCCCCAGGACACAGTGCAATGTCCTGGCTCAAACCCCGCCTCTGCCACAGACTGGCTCCTTCACCAAATACAAATTACTCCACCACTCTGGAGTTTAGTTTCTTCATCTGTAAAATGGGAACAACCATGGTATCTACCTCAAAGGACTGTTGTGCTGACTCAGTGGGACAGTGAGCGAAAACACTTATCACGGTGCCCGAGACAATGAAGGAACTGAATCGAAGTTCCACATTACTGTTCTTCTTCAGATTATTGCCTCGGTCAGCAGCACTTCTCACACTGTGTTGCAGCTGACTTTTCTGATTCCCCCTTGGAGCCCTGGGTTGAGTCACCTCGGTTCTACCCCCAGCACGGTGCACGGTGCCATCAGATCCTTGTCGGACGAGTGAATGAATGAATGAATGAGGGGCTTTCCCCCTGTGGTGACATCACGCTTTGACACCCGTGGGGTTTGTGCCCATTTTTCAGAGCATAGGCAGAGGACCAGTCTTGGAAAGAGACCACCCAGCGTTAGCGTAGACCCGAGGCCCACCTAGGGGCATGTAAGGATCGAGGAGGAATGGACCCACAGGGATCTGTAATGACTCTGCCCTCAGTCCCCTCTGGTCTACCCAGCACACAGATGCCAAGGGGAGGCCGAGTGTGGTGACCTCTTGGCCACAGAGCGGAGAGGGGCTTCCTAGGCTTTCTCTGAAGCCTTGCCAGGCCCCAGGTGTCTGCCATCCCTGGGCGATACACGGGACCTGAGGGAAGCACCCAGGAAAACTGTCCCCTGGATTGTGGTATTTAGGGAGCACTGCTCCTCCTCAAGCCGGACTCAGCTGAGGACAGGCTTTAGTTTCAAGTTACCTTCACAGCTGTGCCCAGGGAGGCCCCTAGAGTGCAGCTGCCATCCTTCCTCACCCAACACCTTCGACCCTCCCCCTGAGCTCCTCGCCCCGGGAGGGGGACAGAGAGGCCCGAGAGCTCTGCGGCCGCCGCCGACCCCTGAATGCGCTGCCTGGTTGAAAGTATGGCTGGGGTGCCTGTGTCCGCGTGCGTGTCTCTGCGTGTGTCATGCATAGGCATGTCCGTGAGTGTCCCTGCGAGCATGTCTCTGTGTGTGTGTGTGTGTGTGTGTGTGTGTGTGTGCAGGTGTCTGTGTGCATGTCTCCCTATGTGTGTACATGGTCTGTGCATGTGCATGCATGTGTGCATGTCCATACATGTGTCCCTCTGTGTGTGTGTGTGTGTGTGTGTGTGTGTGTCTGTGTACGTATATAAGCAGGTCACTGTGTGTGTGCGTCCTCAACCCATTTTACAGTCGAGGAGTCTAGACGAGCCTAGAGAGGAATAGCACTTTGCTCGAGGTCAGAGGGCCCACGTGAGGTGGCATCATTGCTGGCATTTGGACCCAGCCTCAGGATTCCCAGGCCGGAATCTGTCCCCTCCATGAGAAGGACCCCAGAGTGTTTGAAGGTGGTCCCTTGTGTGAGCAGGCCAGTTTTGCTTGCCTGAGGAAGGCCAAGGGAGACAAGACCAGCGGTGAGTCCGGGAAAGCGGGGGAGCAGTCCCAGCTGGGGGTGACGTGAGCAGGAGTAGAGGCTGCTGGGCCCGGGGCACCGCCTTCAAACTTGGGACGGGGAGACCCGTAGCTTCCAAATAGGCAGTGCCTGCAGGAGAAGGGAGCATTAGCGAGAGGCATCGGGGAGGTGGGGGCGGGAGCTGGGGGTGAGAGCAGAGGCTCTGAGGGCAACCTGACCTAGCTTTAATCCCAGCCCTGCCGCTTGCTAGCTCTGGAACCTCTGAGCCTCAGTTTCCTCGTCTGCAAAATGGAGATGATAGCATCTACCTCCTAGATTGGGTGCGAAGGTTTAACAAGATGGTGCACGTGAGGAACTTAGCCCAGTGACCCGGTTCGTAGTGAACGCGCAAAAGAAATTGCTAGTAGTGGACGAACACACCCAGGGGCTGAAGGCAGCGTCCCTGGGTCGCTCTGGAGAGCCCCAGAAAAGTCGCTTGGGCCGAAGGTATGTGGGGAATGAGCCCCTGCATTGGTCATCTGGTGTCATGCGGTGCCCTCTGGTGGGCCGAGAGAGGCTTGCAGGCTAGGTGGGGGGCTCACGGGGGCTGGGGGAGTGCACAAAGTTTAGGGATGAGTGTGGCTTTGGGTCCGAGGGTCCGCATTTCCTCAGTTTGTAAAACATCTTCATCAGGATTATCGTCCCCGCCCTGCGTCAGTACAGGCAGCGTGGAGACTAGTTCCTCCGTTGGTGAAAAAATTTCCAGCCCTCCCTTGGAATTGCCCAAGGATGCCGCCTGCCCTTTCAGGCTTTTTCTGTCCCCTGCCCTCCTCGGTGGTTCAAAGCACGGTCCTGGGAGAAGGTAGCCAGGTCCGAGTTTGCTTCACCACGTAAAAGCTGTGTTGTCTCCGAGCCACAGCTCCACCATCATACGATGGAGACAACGTGGTCATTTTATAACAATCGTATAAAATTGCCCCGAGGAGTAAGCCATGTGATGTAGGCAAAGCATTAGTGCTCGGAGCCTCCACAAGCCAGGCCTGGACACCAGGGGCCCTGCACTTCTCACCTCGGCGGGCGGCACGATTAGAGGGCCCTCCTTCTCTGTGGGAATCTTTCTGCTGCCGGGCCGAGTGGATGAGCGATGGGATTCAGAGCCAGGCCGGATCCCGTCACTGCCCACCTGCCTGCCCTGGGCCCGCCACTCCCTCTCCAGGCTGGTTTCCTCACCTGTCAAATCAGACATACCAGCATCTACCCACCCCACCCTGGGTTGTGTCACTTTCTCAGGGCTTAGGAATGTTAGTAAAACCGGGGGCGGGAGCATTGAGCTGTGGGTTCACGTGACCGGCTGGGTTGGGCGCGAGTCCCCTCAGCACTTCATGCTCTTCAAAGCCCTTTCTCCACTCCATGAATTCAGTCAGCCCTCAAGGCGATCCTGTCAGAGGCAGAGCGGAGGCAGCACAGCCGTGGCCCCCATTCCCAGTCTGTAGACTGACCCAGTGGCGTTGAGGTACATGCACAAAGTCACGCGGCCTCCAGGGGTCACGCAGAGCTGGCCCAGTTCTTGATGCATCCGCCTCTCAGCTCCCACTCCTCCTCGAGGAGACCTGGGCCCTGCAGAAGCCTCCAAGATCCATAAGCACCCAATGGGGCAGATTGGGCGTCAGCAGGGGGAGGCTTGGGCCTTGGCTAAGTCCCTCAGTTGCTGCAAGCCTCAGTTTCTAGATGATGAGGCTGGACCACAGGGTCACCGCCAAGACTCTTTCCACCCTGATGTTCTGTGACCTGGAGAACCAGGACCCAAGAAGCTTATGCCGATGTCCCTCAGCACCAAAGCCCTCTTAGCTAATAGTTGAGGGGATTTCAGAGAGATACCCCAACGAGGGCCTGGCCTTTTGGAAAAGCGACTCTGTTTAAAGGTGCTGGCCAGCAGTGGGTTCACCCGGGCAGAAGAGGGCCACCAATACCCCCAGAGCGGGAGGCACGGCCACACAACCTCTGGCTCTTTCTCGAGTCCGTTCCTCATTCAGGGGGTTGCAGGAGACGGGCACCCAGGTAGAAAGGAAGCTCCACCAGTTCTCGGGGCCAAGGCCACTCGAGTGTCGTACGTTCCTGTTTGTTGCAGGTGGTAGTGTTGGCAGCTTCCCCCAGGAAAAATGAGCAGGTCCAAACCGATTCAGGAAGTTGTCTTCTTTTTGGGGTCCCCGCCACGGGCCCCCTAAATGCAGCGTTGTAGTACGGCAGGAGTGGAGGAATCGGCCAAGTAACTTTGGCTCCCATTTTCTTTCTTCTTCTTCCTTTTTTTTTTTTTTTTTTTTTTGTGCCGTTAGCACTACCAGGGTCCTGCCGTCCCCACCTGTAAGCCCACCGCCGCCGCTCCCAGGTTGGGAGTAGTTGATGCGTGTCGTTGGGTTCCTCGTAAACCTACCTCTAACTCCTTGCTTATTCCCTTTCCCAGTAGGACGCCTCGTCTAAGGAGTGGAAAACCAATGGGCAGGTGGAGAGACCAGGGAGGCAGGACGGACCATCCAGACCATCCGACACACCTAACCTTCACCGATACCGCCACGCCCCCCCTCCCCCTTCCCCACCCACCCCGGCCCAGCCACATCCCATGTAACATAAGTGGTGCCCACCATGTTTGCACTTTTGATAACTCCCATTTGCGTGTTTTCTTTTTGGTTTCATTTTTAAATACCAATATCTAATACCACAGTGGGAAAAGGAAAGGGAAAAAGACTGTTTATTCTCTCTCTTATTGTACGTTTTTGGATCTGCTACTGACAACTTTGAGGGTTTTTTTTGGGGGGGTGGGGGGGGGAAGGTGTTTGTTGCTGGGACTGAGAAGAAAGAGATTTATATACTGTACATAAATATATATGTAAATTGTATAGTTCTTTTGTACAGGTGTTGGCATTGCTGTTTGTTTATTCCACCCCCTTCCCTGCTCTTGCTGTGGGGCTCCGGACACACGGCCCGGCTTTCTAGAACCCAGAACTGCATCCCCAGCCACGCCGGAGACCGACCCCTGTGTGCATGTAGATGGGAGCCCTGTGATCATATTGTAGACTCCATGGGGTCTTTTCTGGTGGGAGGAGGGCACTGCCCCTTGATTTGGCTGTCAGATCTGGCAAGTCACTGGGAGGCTGGCCTTCTCAAGGGAGGTTGGGCTGGGGGGCAGGTGGGAGTTGCCCCTGGAGGGCAGGCAGTAGCCAGCACTGGTGTCAATTCCCCCCTGCTCACATGTTCCTGCTCTCCAGACCGTCGGGTGGCCCAGGATCCATCTGTGGGCACACCAGTATCCTCATGACCCACCGAGCAAATGACCCTCAGACCATTTGCATGAAGCCACTTGAAACATTTTCACCCACGTTCAGCATCTACTCTGTAAAGCAGGAGAGGGGAGGCAAAGAAGAAAAAGACACACAGTGGGGCCTTCTATTTAGTCGAGTTTTGACAATTTTAAGCAGTGGAGGGAAGAGGACAGAAGGCCCACACTGATGAGTGCAGTGCCGGCCTCCTGCAAATGCACGAGTGAGGCTTCCCAAGACAGACTCTCAGCAGCGAGGTCAGACTGGGGCTTCCCATCCATCCTCTATCTCCCCTGCCATCCTGTCCTCAGTGGTTACCACAAGCTGGAGGGGGGAGCCCAGCGAGCCACCTTGTTGGTAAACTCAATGGTTTATTTGGTTTTTAACCCAATACTGAAGTTCTTCCTGTTTCTCAAGCTCTTCTAAGGGCTCCCAGGCTCAAGGCCAATTCCAGAGTAAAACTGATCTCAGGCCTCCTGCCTCTGCCTCTTGTAGAAGTGCAGGGATAATAGCCCAGCTAGGAGGAAATGAGGCCTAGCTTTCTGCAGACATTTTACTGGGATTCCATTGTGGGCTGTCCAGCCTTCCTCTGGCCTGGTGGCTGCGCCCATTCAGACAGCTGTCAGAGGGCAACAAGTGACATTTAGCCTCTCTTCCCATGCGCGGCCATGGTGGCCTCGAAGGAAGGCAGGTAGCCCAAGACTGATGCCCCTGTTGGATTGCCCCTCTCATATCCCAGCCAGCATTCCCATAAGTGTGCCCACCTCGGCGGACTGTGTACCCCATTTTGGGTCTGGAAGGCATTGGCATCGTAAGCACTGGCCCACTCAAGGCCGTGCTCAGGGAGGGCCCGGAGCGGGGAGTGCACCTTCTCAAGACATGCTCTGGTGGGGCCTCGGGCTACAGAAGGTTCTTGCTATCATGGAGAAAATCCTAGAAGGTATCTCAGGGGTGACTGGAGGCCCCATCCCAACATGGCAGGGAGGAAAGGAAACCCTGCCATCCCCCTTGGCCTGGACCAGATGACTTGGTGTGCTGGAGCTAGATCAACCTTCCTCAATGCCCCGGCCCCTTTCCCGGGCCCGGAGGAAGCATGAAAACACAGAGGGGGTGCCTCCTTGTGGAAATTCAGAACCCACCCACCCAACCCTGCCATCTTCTCTCTCACACACGTGTCGGCTGTGTTGTGTGGCTTTCGTTTGTGAGCAGGGAAGGAGACTATTTGTAGCTGGTTTTATAAAAAAATAAAAATGGGTAAACCTTGGTAGCCGTTGCCTCTTTCTTTGGGGGGCTTACTCTGATGGGAAGATTGCTTTCTCTTAAAAGTTTGGTGTTTTCCCTGGTCCAGGTGCGCTCGCTCTGATCCTAGGAAGTCTGAGTTGTCAGACTAGAAGGGAACCCTCGAGTGGCTACAAGGTGCCCCCACGCTTTGCCGTGAGGACGTTGACCGGTCCCTTTGGCCCTCGCTTACCATGTTTGTGATCTCTGTGGTTCTCCCTCTTACCTCCTCAGCTGCCCCCACAAACCCTCACTGGAACATAGTGAACGTTGCTGGCCATGCTTCGGGGGCAAGGCTCGGGGGGGAAACCTGCCCTGTGGCTTCAGGCTGGTGGAGGTGGGCACCTCGGCCATAATCCCCATCTTAAGACCCCAGGTGGGAAGCAGCTGTGGACAGGGTGCAGCCCCCAAAGGGGTGCATGCTGTCTCTGCCCCAATTTGATGGGAGTACATATTCAGGCAGAGGCTGCTAGTCTGGTTCACATTGCTGGAGGGCTTCAGGGTGGGGACTGGCGGCCAAGGTGAGGCTTTAGATTTTCTCCGATGCTACTGGTATCTCTTTCTTTCGCCCCCTCTCCCCGTGCACCGCTGTGCCTGGAAATGGTTTCCCCACCACCCTCTGAGAAACTCCCCAAGGTTTCTTTTGCCACACCCCATCCCTTTGTCCTTTGTAGGCGAACAGGATAATTCCTCTCGAAAATTCTCCCCTAACCCTCTCTGCAGCTAAGTGTTCCTGGGAAAGGGTCTAAGCCCTTCAATGTTGTCACACAGGTTTAGTGCTGAGACTGTGTCTCCAGGCTCCAGGCTCCAGGCTCCAGAGCTCCCTGTGTCTACAGGCCCTGCTATACCTAATGCCACAGCCCAGTGACGCGTATGTCTTTCTCCCCATTTCACAGGATTCAGACTCAGGAGTCCAGTGACTTACTGGTGGCACCCACCCTCAGATTTTTCTGCCCACTGTCGCCTCCCTTCCTCGAGGAGCTAGAATAGCCACCTCTCTCCCCTCCCATCCAGCTCAGACCCCAGGTGCTTGCATTCAGCTGCGAGCGCAGTTTTTCTCTGAGCAGTTAAAAACAACTTTTTTTTAAATTTTTTTTAATGTTTGTTTAATTTTGAGGGGGGGAGAGAGAGAGAGAGAGAGTGAGCAGGAGAGGGGCAGAGAGAGAGAGGGAGACACAGAATCTGAAGCAGGCTCCAGGCTCTGAGCTGTCAGCACAGAGCCCGATGCGGGGCTCGAACTCACGAGCCGCAAGATCACGACCTGAGCCGAAGTTGAACACGCAACCGACGAAGCCACCCAGGCGCCCCTCTCTGAGCAGTTTAGAGTCACGTTAAAAGCCTACTAGTTTGCAGAGGCCTATCATATGCTTCAGGGATTGGGGGGAGAGAAAGAAGGGGGGCATTGGGCCATGCAGGACATCAGTGGGAGACTTGGGGCAGACCTAGCCTCAAGCAGAGATGCCCAGCGTGGTGTGGGAGAGGACAGGCCCGAGCTCACAGCTGAGTGTAGGACCAGCCTGCAGCCCCATTCGGCCTTCCTCTGTTCTCTCCGAGGACAGGAGGGCCATCACCAGTAGCAGTCAAGGAAAAGACGGATCTATCCTGTCTCTTCCTTCACCAAGAGGCTCCTGAGCCATGCCTAGCCTCTACAGGGAGGGAAGGGTTGAGGACATTTTCAGTCGGGATGTGGGCCTGTGCTCGCATGAGAGGAGGGGCCTCCGGATGGGTACCCACCCTTGGTTCTCTGGGGGTCCAGGGGGGGATGGGAAGCTGGTAGCACCCACCGCCTTATACAAAAAAACCCAGAAAGAGCCAGACTGCCATCTGGCCTTTTACTCCCAAGTTCCGGAATGACCCACATAAAGCCACCAGTGGGGTTGAAGACGTTTGGGGCACTCCCATCGTCTGCCCTGTGGCACTTCCCTCTTTTTCCATTATTCAGGCGGGGACGTGAAACTTGACCTTTTTCGCACAGTGCCACCAAATGAAGCCCTCACCCCTACAGCCTGGGTCACTGGTCCCCTTTGTGTGAGTTCCATGAATTGATGCAGAGAAGGGTCATGACCTTGGTTATACGCCTGCCACTAAATATGTCCTTGCTTGCTAGTAAGTGCCCAGAGTAGAATTAGAAACATTTAGTGAACAACCTGGTGAGTTTCACAGTGTAGATTATCTTTGTGTTTTCTTTTCTATGTTGATTAAACATTTGCAATTCCTACATTATCCAAGAAGAAAAGGACTTTTTTTTTTAATTTTAGAGAGGTAGCGAGTGTGGGAGTGGGGGAGATGGACAGAGGGAGACAGAGAGAGAGGGGGAGAGAGAGAGAGAGAATCACAAGCAGGCCCCCTGCTCAGCTGGGAGCCCAACGTGAGGCTCGATCCCACGGCCCTGGGATCATGACCTGAGCTGAAATCAAGAGTCAGATGCTCAACTGACTGAGGACCCAGGCTCATTTTATGCATTTTGTGTCCACTGCTCTGATAGATCACATTTATGGTTTAGTACAAATGTGCCTTCCCTTCTGGGAACCTCCTGGTTACTTCGCTTCTTTATAAGCCCAGTTCTGCCCATTACAAACTTCAATCTCCGGCTTGATCTAGATCCTTCTCCCCCCGCCCCGCCCTGGCACACTCTTGAGCGGGCACCCTGACTTCTGGGAGGAGATCGGGGGCTACGCTCAGGCTCTGAGACAACCCCTCCTCTGCCTTCTCATGACTCCGCTCTTCCGAGTGATGGGGCCGTGGAGGGAGCGGAAACCATGACAACAGTCACGTTCCCCTCTGTTCACTGTGGAGGCCTCACAGATTAGCATGGACGGCCGTGTGGTAGGTGCCCCAGTGCTGGCTCTCGTAGGGGGCCCAAGGCAGCTCCTAGAGTGGGGCCTCCCCACCACGTAGGGCCTTTCTGTGGGAAATTCAGCCCAGACTTGACCTCTTCTATACTTCCCCACACCCACTTCGTTCTAAGGAGCCTGCCTTTGGTTTTGTATCTGTGATATGGCTCGTGCCTGGCTCCCTTCTGGGGCGTCCATTCACCCTTGAGAAACGCACACATCATTGCGCGCGTGCGGGGGGATCCTCAGTGCCTCCCGTCTTGGCTCTGCCTCTCTCCCACCTCCCCGCTGCGTCTCTCCCACCTCTCCCCTGCCTCTCTCCCACCTCCCCCCTGCCTGGCTGCAGCAGGCTGGGGAGGCTGGTCAGCAAGTCTGCTGCATCACAGACGTCCAGTTGCAAAATGAGGTGTCACTGGCCTAAATCTCCGGAAGCAGTTCTCTTTGAGTTTCCCAGCTTCTTCGGCTTCACGGAGAGGAGAAGAAGCAATGTAGTGATTCCTGGCCCGCTCCCTCCTCGCTCTTCCCCAACCTTCTTGTATGGATTGGAGTGGGGAATGGTGGCCAAGTGCAGAGCTATCTCAAGTGTTATGCTCCCTTTGGGGAGGGTGTCAGGCCCCAGCTGTCGCTCTTTAGGGTATGGGATACTTAGCATCTTTTTTCCTAGTTTGGACCCTAATCAGTAATTCTGGGGAAATAGAGGTGTCCCTCGTCAAAGTCTTGTTATTGTGGGTTGAGGGATAGATACAAGAGAAGATCCCAGAGAGAATCCCCCAGTAGCTCCAACCCCAGGACCAGGGACCACCGGGCTCCCATCATCAGTGACCGCTAGTGGGCCTGCTGTCCCAGACAGTCCTTTAGGGCGTCTACCCCGAGGCCAGCTAGGACCCCTGGGGACCCACTCATCTTCACTCCTCACACTGCCCTCTGGGCTGTGTGAAAACATGGCCAACATTCCCACAAGTGACCCCCTGCGATGCTGACACAGTGGAAGCAGTTGGATCTCTTTAAGGGGAGTCCTTTTAGAGATGTGACCTGTAAACTCCAGGACGGTTGAGCTGACCTCCCTGAACACAAGTCCCTTCAAAACCCTCAACTGGGCGTGGGACGGGCCCGGCGGGGACCAGGATGCCGCACAACCAGAGAGCAGAGCAGGACTACAGGCTGGCTGCAGGAGGGCGGGAAAGCTTTGCAGCATTATCCTGGAGGGGGGCGTCGATGGGGCATCAGCAGATGATGAAGAGGACCCCAGGGCAGCAGCGAATGCCCCGCTGAGGTGAGAGAGTACGGGTCTGCGTGGTCCTAGACACCTGTGGTGTTAATAATTCCCAGGCGCCTCCGGATGAGTTCTGGACTGAGAGTCAGAAGATCAGCTTCTCATCTGCTTTAGCCACTGCACCCCCACCTTTGGCTTTGGGTAGCTCCCTTCACCTTCACAGACCTGGATTCCTTCTGGCCGGGCTCCGTGCTCCATTGCACCAGTAAGCTGGTCTTGCATCTAAGGCTCATGTGTTTCAGGGGCGGGGGAGGCACCCACCGAGAGGGGAGGGGTCCAGACAGGCTGAGGGCCAACAGAGACAAGAGGGGCTAGGGCCCCTCAGCAAGTGGGGCGGCTGTGAGTAGGTCCCCTTGGAGGGGATCCACATTAAGGGGCCTGTTAGCAGGGAAGGAAGAAGAAAATGAAGACAGGAGATGTGCATGCTTAGGGAGGAGATAAGATGCAGACGGAACAAGAGGTAGAGATGTACAGAAGAAAGGCAGGGAGTAGTCGGAGGAGGGGCCGAGAGAGGCTGGCAGGCTGGCCCCGGGAGAAAAGCCTGGGAGGGGGGATGAAAGGCATGGTGGGGGTGGAGGAAGAGGGGTGGGAGGAACGAGGCACCTCCAACTGGAAAAACAAACTAGAAATAGGCTAAGGTGTTGCCCACGCTAGGCTGTTGGTGTTTGAGGTTTTCACATTTGTGACTAGAAGGCTTGCAGGGCAGTGTGTGGGCTATTTTCAGTCCGGAATAGATGCTCAGGAGAGTTGTGACTGCGCTTGAAATCTGCTACTGAGATTGTCCCCGTCTCAGACTCCGGCCCGGGTGTCTGCAGAGTCCAGGCTCCTGGACACCTCCCCTTGGGTGCCCCACAGCCCCCCAAAACTCAATATGCCTAAAAC